TAATAAGTTCTATTCTTTCTTGGCACTAACCCTCGCTTGAAGGGTTATTTTATTAGTTTTGGCCTTTAGGTTGTACTATTCTCTCTCTCTCTCTCTCTGTCTCTGCACACACACATGGTTGTACGGGCATGCTCATGCACATACACACAAATACACATCAATGTCCTCCATTTTTATTAGATGTTAGGATCTTTCTTCAGTGTTCGTTCCCTTTTCTTTTATTATCAAAATATTGAGTTAGTATTTAGATGTAGATACTGATTCTTATTCTGTAAACAATCATCCGAAGACCTACCTTCTTCATCTCTGTTTGTATCTTCTTCTTTTAGTTACTCATCTGAGTATGAAGTGAACTACTGCTTGGTATGTATTTAGGTAGGTGAGTTTTTCACTTTGGCTCAAAGTAGCGCTGCAGCCCAGCAGAAAGAATTTGAGGCATATAACATCGGCGATAGATCCATTGATAGTCCATTGCTATTGGAGCAAGTACAGTTTTGCTTTTATTTTGATTTTCATCTCTCTTTCTATTGGCTGAGAATCCTCTGTTCTTTCTTTAAGTAATGCCAAGGCAGTTGATTGCGTAGGAAATGGTCACAGATCCATCAAAGCAAGTTAAGCTGGGCTCTGTCAGTGGTCTGGTTCCAAGAGAAAAAGCAATCGCTTTCGAGAGGATTTTGTTCCGTTCAACCAGGGGTAATGTGTTCCTGACGCAATCTGTGGTCGAAGAGCCTGTTATTGATCCATTATCAGGAGAGAAGGTTAATGCCAGATATTAGTGCTGTAAATTTGAACTTCTTAGAGTATGAATCATGTGTTTCTTTCTATCATGTTATGTTTTCCTATTCGGCTCAATGAAGTTGATTTACAATAATCTTGTTGCTCGCAAATGTGGCATTATATTATATTAATTTCCTTCTGTCACTTTGTGCTTCTTCATCTGCTTCATGTTTGCTAATTAGAAAAACTTATTATTTATATTCAGAAATGAATAAACTATTAATTGACAGGTGGAGAAGAACGTATTTGTTATATTTTACTCTGGTGAGAGAGCAAAGAACAAAGTTCTGAAAATATGTGAAGCTTTTGGAGCAAACCAATACTCATTCACAGAGGATCTCGGCAAACAATTTGAGATGATCACAGAGGGTATAAATAATTATTTTGGTTCTTGCAAGTTGATCCTTCTTGTTACTTTCAGTATTGGTAATATTTAAAATATGTCAGTTTGTATCCATGGAAAATAGAAAAGGTGCTTAACTAATTTTTAATTAATTTGTTTTTCTGGAGATGTTGTTTGATTGCCCGGACATAACACATTCAACATTTAATATTGGATGGCAATGAATTTTTATTCCTACATGAAATAGTAGGAATCACAAATTGATCTAGCTTAAAATGGATAAATTAGAATACTATTCTCGTTCCATTTTTCTTGGTAATTTCGGTTATATTCACTTTCTTTTCTTTTTTCAGATAGAAGAAGAAACTTTATTAAAAGAATAGAACGGTAGAAAAAGTTATGAAGATGGAGAATAAGTCATCCTCCTTAGTAAGTAAGAAAAAAAGAAGAGAATAAAAGGTTAAAAACAGTGTAAACTAAAATGTCTCCTTTATACTCTATGGATCATAGCATCTCAATTACAGTAAAGCTCTAAGATGCTTATGCTCGGTTAACGGCCATGTGCTTTTGCCTAAGGGAAACCATGAACATGACCCTCTCGTTGAGCTTATGGAATGTTGTCTCCTGATTAAGAAAAATTTTTTGGTTCCTTGTTTGCCATATAACCCAAAGGCCTTCAAAATGCACCTTGCCGTAGTACCTTAGCCTCTTTTCTTACTCCATTCCCCGGAATACATGAATTCATTAAAATATTAACTGTAGGAGTTGCCACCCAGCTAAGGCCAAACTTATTCATCAGAGTTGCTTGCAACTTCCGCACCATGGTGCAATGTAAAAACAAGTGGGAGCGAGTCTAACCATTTCTGGAACACAAACGCAAAATGCATGTACTTGGAGACAGGGCATAGTAAGATCCTCATATTTGAAGCAAATCATTAGTGTTTAGCCTTTGGTTAATATCAACCCATGAAAATACCTTTACCTTTAAAGGGACTTTAACTTTTAAAATATGTTGGCAATATGGAATTGTTTTTCATTAGGTTTAGATAAAAGGTGCATGAAGAAAGATTTATATGAGAACAACCCAGAAGGTTCAAGAATCCAAGACTGGCGATTTCGCTAGGTGGTAATCTAAATGGGCTCTTTCATGTTTAATTATGTCTGGTGGATGACTGGTCAAGCCGAGGGAACTTTGTGGCGAGCGGTTGATCCCCTGTAACACCCAAATATTTTTTTTAATATTATTCTTATTATTTTTATTTTTATTTATTTTTCTTTTTTTGTATTTGAATTTTTTAGATTTTTATTTAATTTAATTTAATTTAATGAAAATAAAAAGAATAATAATGATAAAATTGGGTAAAAATATTATTTGAATTTAATTGAAATTGATTTTGGAAAAAAATGGTGAAAATTTGGATTATAGAGGTGTTTTTGAAAAGAAAATCGGAAACCGGGGGTCAAAACGCAATTTAGAAAAGTTGTGCCACGTCAGCAGCCACATCAGCAGCCCGGTCAGCAGCCCCGGCCAACCAGGACACGCCGCGTGGCAAGGAAACGCTGACACGGGACGGGTCACGTGGGCGATCCTCGTGCGCTCGATCGGACGGCTCA